TGAGACCACAACTCGTGTCATGTATAGCTTGGTCAACGGATTCACATATCGATCAATAATATAACATACACAAACATGTGATCATAATTAATAACTGACGTGGTGGGTAGCTGAAAAAAATATTTTGGGTGAGCTGTTATACCCTTATGTTGTGTTTGGGGTCTCTGAGACCCCAGTTATAAACATGATTAAATGTCCTACTGACAGCCCTCAAAGTGACTGAATAATCCTTTTATGCATAAGGTGGAATCGTGAAGCTCCAGTTTTTTCAAAGCAGCTGTCCCGACCTTCAGATACTGCATGACGTTCGAAGCTTCAAACGTCATCAATCACGTGGTGTTGTCATTTCGATACACGCATCGGCACAGTGTGATACAGTAGTGGTTTGAAAACTGCGTCGGAGCATCGGAGCTGCGGTATCAATTGTCCCATCACTAGTTTTCAGGTCTATCTCTTTTTTTTCTAATTTCCCTTGCTCTTGGGGTTTTTTTCTTCGTTTTTTTACTTTTCTCAACTTTTCCCCAAAGTACCTCATACAACTAAAACATCTGCATTAAAAACCAAAGTATGTCATCCCTCAAATGTAACTCCAATGCCAGTGTATATCATGGATATATCATAGATCTGATGTTCAATGGCAGCCCTTCTGCAATGTCATTAGACCCACAAACAAAACTGATGTTGTAAACTTGAAGTTTTATTTTTTCTCTCCACTTAATTGAGAGTTATGCAATAATTGTTCTTGCTGCAGGAAAAAGACAATAAGACTACTGAATTAATAATAGCTGGTAGTTAGTAAAGTTTTATTGTTGATAAAAGCATATAGTTTTTACAGTGAATATTGTGCAAACTTTTTGCAAGCAGCTGCAGTGACTCTACATGACAGTGAAATGGGTTCCTACACTTCAATACTCTCACCTCATGCAGCAGTATGACTCACCATATGGGACCTGGCTGAGAAAACATTTGGCATTTAGCTTGTTGTAACAGGACAAAATTTGATTTCAGAGCTTTATAAACAAAATGTATCGGGACACATTAACATAAGACTTTTTTACTGGTCTTTTGCAAAATAACAAGAGAAAATCTTCTCAGACCATCACAACCTTTAAGAAATAGCTGAAGACACCACTCTTCCATGAACAAAATACTTCCATAACCATAAACAAGAGCACTTCCTATAAATTACGCTTTCTTTAGCACCTCCTTTCTGTCTGCTTCTTTATGGTCTACTCTTTTATGGAAACTTTGCATTGTGGTTCTGCTAATATTATTAGCTCCTGTAAATTGCTGGTTTTAAATTCTTCTAATTTGTAAGCTACTTTGAATAAAAGCATTTGTTAAATGATCAAGTCATTCATTTAATCAGGCAGATTTGTTGATGTACATATGTCCTCGCCAGTTCATTTTGGTTGTGGTTTTTATCATGGCCCTTATTAGGAAAACATCAGTTCCTCCAGTTGAAATATGAATTTCTTTCATAACTTCCACAGAGAACTTTCCCCAACTATTTTTCTGCTCGCCTGTCCATCCAACATGTGGGTGAATATGAGATCCCCAAAGAATGGTTTATGGACAAAGGTTTATGGATCAGTGGTTTCAGACAGGATATTAAAGGGGTCCTATTATGCTCTTTTACAAAGTCTTGATTTTGTTTTGGGGGTGTACTTGAACAGGCTCTCATACTAGGTTGTTCGAAAAACACATTATTTTTCACATATTTTACATTATTACAACACCTCTCTCCCCAGTCTGGCATGAACGGCTTGAATAGTTCCTGAATCAAATGAAGGCCCGCCTTCTGAAATACGAAATATGCTGTGATTGGTTAGCTGGGCCAGTGTGTGTTGTGATTGGCAGCACTCGGCGCCTGGTCGGGAAATGTCATGCCCCTTACCATAGCCGCTTGCGAGCATCAGTGTAAATATTGCGTCAAAATCAAATCAATATCAGCGCGGTTTAAACCCGGATGATTGTAACCACTCTAAGTTTGTCTGCCTTGGGAAAGCTAGCGTGTCTCCAACATAGTGATAACACTCGTTGCCTTCTCTAGTGCAGCTCAACCAGGTCTCATCCCATTCGTCGATATTTGTGATATCACAAATCCCAGAAAATTGTAGTCCAAACGAGTCGTTCGTTGTCGTTTTTGAAAAGTGATTTCTGTTAAATAAAATATCTCCTTTTGAAGTGGACTTTGAACTTTGTAATTTTGCAGATCTTTTTTATGCTCAAACAGCAACATTACAGACTAACTAAAGTTGAGAAAGTGAAAAAGCATAATAGGACCCCTTTAAGACAGTGTTGTACTATGAAGGCTATATTTCCTTTTCTTGTCTGTTAATGATACGTAACATCAGGGAGCAAAAGAGGGTGGTTATGGTGGAATATTGACAAACAGTGAAAAACTACACCCTTCCCCACAAGTTGTAAAAAACAAAAACTGGTGTTAAAAGATGAGCAAAGCATTCAAATAGATACCAGCATATTTCAAGAGAGGACTTCAAACAGTGTTTCATATCAGGATTCAACAAAGGTAAAAGAAGGTCAAACTTAGAGCAAGGAAGAAAGAGGCTAAAAACTCTTTCATTGTTGTTTGGTCTTGTTTTGTAGTCCATGCTGGTCCTTATGTAGGTCAGTTGAAATCAGACTGTTTTGGCCCCTGACAGAACAATGCTTTCTGCTTGATGTAATAGCACTAGTCTGTCTCACTACCCACAATGCACAGCCATGATATCACTCTCCAAGTTATATACTCATTCGATCGAGGTCAGACTGCATTAAATGGCAAGTGTGCAGCTATTACATTCAACAGCTTGAAATATTACCTCTTTTTTTCCATCTTTCTCTCCTTTCATTGTCTCAGGAGTTTGAAAATATTAAAAAAAAAATTCCTGCATGCAGACATCCTTATTGTCAAGCTAAGTTAGCAATTGAGTCAAACGAGACTTTTGAGACAATTATTAATACAAAAAACAACAGCAAAAATAACAAGGGCTACAAAATATTTCTACATGTTTTATTTGGAATAAATACCTTGAAGCATGACAAGAAAAAAATATTTATGTATAACAAGACATAATAGGTATTTACATGACTTGTTTGTGCACAGCCAGATGGATGTATACATAGTATACAAGCCCATGCAGGACATTGAAATCTTTTGCTGTACAAAAGCGCAAAAGTAAAATATGCATTAAAGTAATACAGAAACCATCTTTTAGATGGACGATACGGTCACTCTGAAGAACCTTGATCATCAATGTAACATGTTTAGCGTATTACAGGGATTTTCACTTACTGTGTACAAAGAACGACTTGCCACTAAAGCACAGGGCACGACACTGTACAACCTTGTGCCACCAGCCACCAGTTCTTAAAATTCATTGTAATAGTAATAACTTAGTTAAAATGGCAACTGTACCAGACAGGGTATGATTATAGCAGCTGCACCTCTGGCTCAGTGGTAGGTAGAGGAGAAGAGATAAACAGCATTACAACAAATAAAAAAAGGGTTCTGGTTGAAAGCTGGATGAGGAGGGAATGTGTTTGGCAGTACAGAACATGGCTGAAAGCAGGAAATATGCTGGCCAGAAAAGAAAAAAAGTTAGGTCTGCTAAGCTAAATAACAGTGACTTCAAGGAGATGAATGGACATGCAAAAAGAGTTTAGGGACAGACGGCTAACATGCTAACACACACGTACTGATAATACACAGGCCTTGTGTACATAAGGCTTTCTCCTTGCTGTTTTTGATTTAGGGGGCTAATACATCGGCAAAGACTTAAACATTTCCATGATCTGTACTTTGTCAAAATTGCCCCTCTGAGTTACTGCATGTCATATTGCAGTGGTAAAGGTGGATCGCTGCATTGCACGAAAGGCCATGTGGTAAGTAGTTAGAAGACTTCCAGTTACATTTCTACACAGATGACTTCATTTATTTGCATGACGTAAAGCTTTGGGAACTGGCTTCCTCGCTCTATTTGTCAAAAAATGCTAATATTTAGGCCTGTTTGTTGACACAGAAAATGTGCTGATAGAAATGTAGCCTGTGCTTCCGCTCAGTCCTTAAGCAATGTGAAGAAAATGTAAAAACTAGTAAACCAGTAAACCAAATTTTTTACCTCTATTAGAAATACTCCAGTCTCATTCTTGGATCTTAAGTTTTGGTTAATTTTCTCCACAGCTCTGAGTTTTTAAGAAAAGAGGGTATCAAAGAGTAGATTGCAGCCAGTTTCATGCAGTACAAGGGCATTTGTGAGCTAGTTTATTATATACCCTGTGGAATGTTTCTGTTAACCCAGATGGACTATATCAGTATTTAGTTTGGCCTCCACCGCACACATTCATTAATGGCCATTTCAAACATCAATTGCTCACACAGATGTTTACACTGATGTCTGCAGGAAAAAATAAAAGATCATCCATTCAGTTAAAAGCAATGGATTTGTGCAGTTTAGGCTTAATAATTACACTGTTGTTTTGGACTTGGATAGCTATGTTCAGTGTTCTCATTCGTAATCACAGGTATTCGTAGAGTGTTGTTCTATCATATACATTTTCATATGCTTGCATAGACATGTACATTATTGACATATTAACAGCATCTAAAATGGAAACATTTTACATATATATGATTTATAGGCATACAAATGTTTAAAAATCCTTTTTGATTTATAGAATATTGAATACATTGATTTTACTGCATTTAATTAATTAAATTAATATGTTCTTTGTCATGCTTTTTTACTTAATTTAACATTACAGTAAAATTAACGACAAAAAGTCTATAAAATGGTATAATGTGGTAAAAATTGCCTGTTTTGCATTGATGAGAAGTGGTTAGCTTTAGAGTAGAGGTGGGATTCGATTATAATAACTATACAAATATATTTCTAATATATAAAAAATTATATAAAGAATTAAAGAACATTTTTGTTTTAAATGCAGAACATACTTCAATACTTTTATGTTTTAGGTGCTGTCAATACATCTATATCGTATGTATTCAAACATACAAAAAATGTACATGTACCTGTTACTTATTAATACCAAAAAATTTTAATGACATCAGGCATGATTTTGAATTTGGTCTCATCTGGATGATTTACAGGTGATGGATTTGGTTAGAATTAGAGGTAGAGTACTATTTGCATTTGTGTTCAATCCTGTTTATCTCACAACCTCAATTGTCTGTCTTTTATCAGTCATTTTTTTCCACAGCTGTCCATTTTTCCCCATTGTCAAACAGATGAAAAAATATATACTTATAGTCTTTTTTCTTTGTACTTTTCTCTGCTGAATATGCAATTTGACAAAATAGAAGGTCCATGCAGAGAAATATTAAATGGAGGGGTGGATTATTTACAAGGGGCTAATGAACAGAAGTCCAGTTCCTGTGGCTTCTTTTTCTCTGCACACTTCTCCCTGGGAAGCAGCTTTCCTACATTTGTAACGCAGCGAATCAGGCGCCGTTTGAAGCCCTTCCCACAGGTCTTGGAGCAGGGGGACCAGTCGCCCACCTCCCACATGGGGCAAGGGTCTCCACACGCCTGAATAGCACTGGGTTTTTGGACAGGCTCACAGTCCATTCCAGGCCCACCATCTCCCCCGAGACACTGCACCATCCTCCTCTGGAGCCCATTACCGCAAGTAACCGAGCACACGTCCCACCCGGCCGCCACCCACTTTCCTGGTTTTGGTGGAATATCTTTGACATACGATGGCGAGATTGTGTCCTTAAGAAGATCTGCCTCTTTTCCACTTTTACTGATTCCGCTCTCTTCCCTAAGAACACTGTTTTCAGCACGTGCCTTTTCTTCTTTCTTTTGCACCTTGGCATCTTTGCTCTCCCGTGGCAAGTAGAAAGAATAGCGGATACGTGGAGGTGTCATCTGGCCTACAGATAGCACTTCAATTACCAGGGCTTCTCCCAGAGGCTTCACAGCCTGAAGAGTTTCTGAGGAGCCAACTGTTCCACTGTAGCGGAGCAGACTTCCTTTCACAAGAATATCCTTCTCCATGGCTGAAACCACATAGTTTCCATTCAGCAGGTACTTGCCCTGGCTGTTCTTGACAGCAAGATAGTTGTCATCACTCACGATGCCCTTGTAGCCACGCTGCCTGATGTCGACGTTAGAGGCTCCCACAGGGAGCATGACCACAAAATTGTAACCATGCCTGAGAAGAGAAAGGTCAGAAGATGTATTAGAATGGTTTTGGGATATTCTTCTCTCTCTTAGTACGTCAGTTGACCAATCCAAAAAGAAATACTAAGAATGTGAGTTTGTGACGGCATATCCAAAAATAATGGCAAGAAATGTCTGATTCACAAAAAATTACTCTTATGAACCAGTTCTTTTTAGTGAAAGAAAAACATACAGAAAGGCAGTGTAGTACAACTGACAAACAATTCACACTTATGAACCAATTATTTAGTGAATCAAAATCATTCTCAAACACTTACCTGTATATTTTAGATATATAAGTATAAAGGACATCATAACCAAAAAAATAAAATAAAAATAGCGTAAATAATCAAATCTAATCAGAATCAAATCAAATCAGGAAATCTGTATTGATACCCAGGCTTATCAAAACATGAGATTAATAATCAGTGCATGAATTATTTTAAGATTATTTGTGTGACCCAACTTCACTCACATCGGCTTAGTGAAAAGGCCTGAGACCTTCTTGCAGTTCTTATTATCTCCTCCACAGACTCCACACTTGTTAAACTTCTTGTTGGATCCCAGTTTTCCATCACAGCCTGCCTTGAAGCATTTGCCTTGGACACAGACTGATGAGGAGTCAGGAGAACATGGTGTACCATCAACAACCTATAAAAAAGCAGAGAAAAATTATTTGCATGCCAACTATATTGTGGATAAGCATAATGGTGACAAAAAATATATAGGGCAATTCTTGTACAACCATTTATTTTCTTTGCAAAACAATGTTTCATGTACTGATGATTTAAATACATAAATTACATTTCTTTTTTATTTGTAATTGAACATGTACATTAGATAAATCCCTTTAATGTTTCCCATTGCTCAGTTTTAGAGCAGCTTTGCACAACAGGCTGATTTCTAGCTATGACAATACATGTGGGGGTGCATTGAAACAAATGAGTCTAGCATGTCTACTATTAAGCTATTTCTGTCACGATTCTGTTGCTCATTTGTTTTGGATGAGCTATACCTTCAAATTAGTAATGGGGCTTACTCAATTAATGTACAGTCTAGTCTTTGGTATTGTTTAATTATTCCTTTATTTTTTTGCCTTTGGCAAAACATGTCTTTAGCAGATGAGAGTTCATTCTGTCTCTTTAAGAGTTCAGGCTCTGAGTAGTTTCTTTAGTGTCAAATCCCGGTCTCATAAACATACCTCTAGCCTTGACGTAACTGTTGCGTCTGTACAGTTTCACTCTGCACAACAGTATCTCACAAAGATAGGCCCTTTCACCTTCCTTATCTTTACTCTCACTTTCATCTGTTCTTCCTGACCACTCAACTCTGCCTGTAGTGAAATCTGTCGTAAGTGTAAAGCAGCCACCAAACAGCAGGTATGCTGACCAGGCCTTTCTCCTCTTACATGCCTATAGTAATATATGGTTTTAATTTAATGATACTTTTCCTTTCAATAAATTCTTAGATGAAGGTTTAATAACTCATAACTGTTCTGATATTGTATGCAGCCTTTCATGTACCAAATTATTGCAAATGTATTTTATGGTGTTAAGGTGTGTTAAGTTCACTTTATGTTTAGTGAGACTCCCAGACTCACTGACAGGTTATATTCCCCGCATCCCCCATAAAGTCCTCAAGCTTCATAATTTCCAGTAAAAGAATTCATGTGAACCTTAGTTTATATATGTATTATTAACTAATATAGTAAACTATAACCGACACGATTAACCGGTAGAAATTTGATGCTGCTATGATACATGGTCATTTATTGTTTGCACGCGCTTTTAAACATTGTGGTTTAAAAACAAGTGATTTTAAGCCAGTAAAATGCAATCAGCCGCAAAAGAGAATTCATTTCACTATATGCACACTAAGAGACTGTTTCTGAGCACTGTCAGAGAGGCACGCACTTAAGAGTTATTTTTGCCGCTCTATAGGCCTTGAAAGGTTAAATACACACACATTTGTACGTGTCAAAATGCCCGTCTTTGCAATTATCCTTGTAAACACAGTAATTTAGGTAAAAGTAAACAGCTGAGAAAGAAAACGTGTAACAGTATATTGGATCCGGGCAGCTCTTAAAGTGACTGCAGTCTAATATTCCTGCTGTCTGTCACTCATGTTAATCAAACAACAAAAGAGAGAAAATCACTCACTGCTCTTGCTAAATCACTTTAAATACGCTAAATAACTTTAATAATAAGAAATATATATTTAATTTACACAGTGAAGAATATGCAGTGTTTAAACATTTGATTACTTTATTTATTTATTTGCTAGTTTTTTGTGACAAGAATGATAAAATTTTGATATCATAAAGACCTTATTTTAAGCAAAAATAACTATATTGTGATATATACCGTTACCATGAAATAAAATTACTCATATCGTGATATAAGATTTTGGTCATATTGCCCACCCCTACTAGTTATAATAAATAGGCCCTATTATTTTATATTATTTTATTACTCATATTTTCCACTGCATGAACTGATGAAATTGATATTAAAATCATATTTTATATATATTTTTGATGCCTTAAATCCAAATTTCATTTTGTTTTTTGTTTTTTTTATTTCTAATTGAGATGGTTTTTAACATGTTAATTGCTCACCTTAGGTGCAAGAACGTGGAAGTAGCCTGTTCCATTTGCCCTGCAGATCAACTTGCATGTATCTTTAGCCGAAACACCAGAATATTTGGGCACCCACACCACAGAGGGGGTGAGCCGGTTAGTGTTCAGGCTAAACCCATTGTAAGCTTCACACTGCTCCTCACGGTAGCTCTTGCCTAAAGTGACAATGAGGCAGATGTAAGTGGCGCACATTCTTGAAATTCTTATTTTATTCCATATGCAATGCAGAAAAGCATAAATTATTCCAAATAATAAAATTATCCTTGTTTACTTGACTTTTGTTTACACTGATGCTGATTTTGTGCAGACAGAAAACATTTAAACCTGTGTCAGGGCATGGGGAGAGGTTGCAGGACCGGTATTTGACCCTCACTCCCTGGCAGTATTTGCCGCCATTGACTGGCACAGGGTTGTCACACTCTCTCTTTGAAAGCTGCACTCCACCTCCACAAGTTCTGGAGCAGGTACCAAACAGTCCCCATTTACCCCATCTGCCATCCACCTAATACAGAAGAAACAGGGAGAGGGGGTTGTCACAACTCACTTGACCTTTGAACATTGAACATCCTTTTACAACAAGCTCTATTTTACTTCTAGATCCCAAATGACTTGGCCACCAAGAACACGTTCACGGGTCATGTGCAAGATCGCTAAGCAACAGGGCAAATAAACCAAGTAACCGGTAAAGTGCAGTACGTTTAATAGGCTGACATCGGTATGTCAAATCTCTGTTGTGGTCACATGATAGCTTTCACATTGCAGTGAGAGTTATTTCAAAATGTGTTCAATGTGTTCATTCAACAAAAGTTTAAATACTCTTTTCTAACATTCTAAATTCTGCAAGTGAGCATGATCAAAACAGCAGTGACAGTTTGTATATTTAGTGTCCATCCATCCATCCAAGTATTTGGAATACTGTAGATGTATGAAGGTACCTTAGTTTTGGTGATCTCCTGTTTGTCCATGCATGTGCCTCTCATGCAGAGCTGACCGTTCCCGCAGCTGGTTCCGTCCGCCCATGGAAAGTGTCTTGTCTGGCACACCAGTTGCCCACGGGTCTTTCCTGTGCACCACAAGCGCTGACATGGTGCCTGCATGAACGGGCACGGCTTTGAGCCGGCACCGAAGGCAAGCTCACACTGCCGCTCTAAACCATACGATGCACCTGGGAGCACCTCTGGAAGAGCTAACGGTTTCTGAGGTTGATCCAGCAGACAATCGCCTGCAAAGAAGTCAAATAATAAGAGAATGTTACACACAGTTTTATGAAATTGTATATACGGCACTTCAGAGACTTTTGTTTACACTCAATTTACCTGTAATTCTTTATTAAAATATACAGTAAGTATGGTTTTATGCAGTAAAAAAATAAAGTTTGACTGGAGTGTGTGCATGATACATTTGCTTTAGATATTTGTCTATCAGAAATGTAAGTGTATATATATATATATACATATGTCTTCATCTACAGAGGGCAAATATCCGCCCTGAGAGGGGTTCTGAATCCCCCAGTGACCCCACTGTAAACCTTCACAGAAACACTCCAGTCAAACAGTTACGTCAGTCGCCACACTGTTTCAACAAAAATTTAGATCTGCAAGCTGTAACGTAGGCTGACCTTGGGATGTCTATTTCTTTGAAGACAGCTTTTCAGAAAGCACCAACACTGAGATGTTAAACCCAGACTCACCCATAGCTCTATTAGCCCTGAGCACGCTCATATACACTACGATTCAGAAGGGGCCCGTTTTGTTTGTTTTTGAAAGAAGTCTCTTATGCCCTACAACATTTGTTTATTAAAATACAGTAAATGAGTAAATTCAGTGAAATAGTATTACAACTTATAATAACGCTTTTCTATTTTCATATATTTTAAAAAGTAATTTATTGCTGTGATCAAAGCTGAATTTTCACCAGAAGTTACTTCAGTCTTCAGTGTCACATGATCCTTCAGAAATAAGTTTGATATGCTGATTTGGCACTCAAGAAACACTCAAGAAACAGCTGTGCTGTGGAATATTTTTGCTGAAACTGTGATCCATTTTTTTCAGAATTCTTTGATTAATAGACATTTCTAAAGAACAGCATTTATTTGAATTTTATTAATGTATGTAAAACATTATAAATGTATTTACCCTCATTCATTTAATGCATCATTGCTGATTCAATGTATTGTTTTCTTTTAAAATAAAATTCAAGTCTTCTTACAGTAGTAGAGTATACATGCAGTCAAGCTGCTCCAACCCTCACATTAAAATGTAGCTTCAATATACACTAATCCAATCAATAAAATTTGATTGCACATTATTTTGTTTTCTACTGCTTAAAATATAAAATAAATGCTTTTAAACTGAACACACTACATTTTGATCTAAATATATTTAAAGGTAAATTTCAGCATAGATTAATCGTGTTTCAAAAATAGTGTTATATTTCAGTACTGCTGTGTTGTTGTTCTTCACTTTCACATGGCATTACCATTGTATGGTTACCTGTAAAGGCCAAACGTATTTGGCATTATGCAAAAGTGGAAATAGAGTTGCTTTTAGAATTCATGTTTTATGCAAACCATATTCAGGCCACTTCAGTTTTCTTTAAGGGGGATTGTTTCACTTTAAAGTTAATTTGGAGCTTTCACATATTGTCAAAATTCATGCAAACCACTCTCAGACCCCTGAAACGTAACATATTAAGTGCAGGTCTATAGGAAATGCACAGTATCACTTTCTTTTACTTACCGTGTCCACTGTCCAGGTAGTCAGTGATAATGGCAGCACTGCATGGTGACCAGGGACTGGTGCGGTTGATCCGGATCAGAGTGGGAGACATCATGTGATTGTCCTGCAGCTTGCCAAACACTTCCTCACATGCCTTAACATTATCGTGCGGCATATTGAAGACATGTCCTGTAGCGGTGAAGGAGAGGAGAAAGGAGTGAGAACACAAGAGGGGAAAAAATACAAAAAATAAAATGCAATGTGTGTCAGCACTTTACACTGATGTAAATGAACCATCTCTAGAAATTATCCAAATGTAAATTTAGATTTTTGCCTTTTAAATCACCAATCATTACAATACAATTTTCCTGTCAGCAGTTGGACCACAGCTATGCTGAGTCACTTCTACAATACCTCCAACATCTCCCCACATTTCCTCCCTGGCCTTGAGAAGAAACCTTTGCAAACCCGCCTGAGGTTTCCTACAGGGAAACAAGCCACTTCGATAGAGCTTATCTTTCCTCAGCTGCTCCACTGAGCTAATCTGAACTCAATGAACATCATCTCTGGGACAATGTTGTGGAGATCCTCCAAAAGGTTTTGGATGCTGCAATTACTGGTTCTAGACCCACATATTGAGTAGGGTTGGCAAGCATTCAGTTAGGAGATTTCAGCACCGCCAATTATAATAAATGACGATGCAATAGGCTTGTTATTGGAGCACCATGCTTGTACTGAGATTGATAATATGAATGCAAGTTTAGGAGAAACTGTGGTTAGTGTTAGTCAGTGATATTCAATGTGCAATGTACTAAATCAGTATTTTAAAGAGGTCATGAACTGAGAAACCAAACTTCCCTTGATCTTTTGACATATAAGAGGTCATTGCACTATGAAAACATCCTGTAGGTTTCAGAACTCAAAACTTTCTCATTAGTCTAAAAACAGTTTATATTGAAACCAGTCTGTCAAAATCACAAGTTGAGGAATGTGCCACTCTATGATGTAATAGTGTGGATAAGCACCGCCTCCGCAGAAGAAGATCAACGCCTGCTTCTACATAACTGCCTGTTTAGTCCCACCCACCGATTCGCACATGTAGTGTAAATAATGAGAGAGGCAAATGCGGGTCTATGCAGAAATCAAACGCTAATGATTGCTCCGAAGACAAGCTGTGCAGTGCCAAGTTGTGGAAACACAGTTTTTGTTTTGCCCTCCTTCTGATACCAACATTAGGAAAGAGTAGATTAACTTTATTTTTAATGAAGTTCCAGACCACATCATTAAGAACTTGTTGATCCTTTGTTCACTTCATTTTACTTTGCTGCCGTACCATGGATGCAGCAGGTGTTTTCAGGCGCTGCGTAATATCATTGCGCCTGCTGCACCCATTGTTCGACAGCAAAGTTCCTTGATTATTACGCCGGAATGAGAGTATAGTTCCTAGCCATATCGGCCTAGAAAATCGCAACTTTTCATTTTCCGTCGGTCTTGGTACACGATGTAACTACAGAAGAGTCAAGTTTTAAATAGGAAAAATATCGAAACTCTTTGGTCATTTTTGAGCGAGATGCTAACGGTCTAATCAGATTCAATGATCTATGCTAAGCTGCAGCTAAAAGTGCTACCGCCAGACCCAGAGATCGGCTGAATGGATTCGAAAACGGTAAAACTCAACTGTTTAACTCTAGGGGAGTTGGAAAATGAGCCTATTTTCAAAAATAGTGGAGTGTTCCTTTAACTATATATATATATTTTAAATTGAAGTCAGTCATGCTCACTTGTGGCTTCTACAGAAGCATACATCATTGTTTAACAATCTTGTAGCTCATGGTACTGTACAGTAGGTCTCTCTTGAAAGGTTTACATTTTGTCGTTAAAAATCAATTTCTCAATGGAGAAAATGAATGGGATTTTAACTGCCAGAACCCTACAGTTGTGCTTTATACATCTGTTTACACTTACCAAGCTCATGGGCAGTAGTGAAGGCAGATGGCAACCCATCATCTTCAATCACAGAACAACTTCTCTTGGGATCACACATGGTGCCAACATCTGCCATACCCAGTGTGTCACATGTTGAGGCTCCACACAGATCCTAGATCCGTAGAACATAAACAAATTGTGGTCATCAATCTTATCTCAATTTTTTAACATTTTAGATGAAGATTTGGGTAACACTTTATTTTAAGGACTCTTTAATTCTCACTATTAACTAGTAGCTTATTAGCATACATATTACTAGCATATTGGCTGTTTATTAGAACTTATAAAGCACATATTCTGCATTTGTGAAAATTTGTTCCTTAATCTAAAGTGTGACCAGGATTGGTTTTGTAATTACAAGTCAATGTTAGTACAAATGACATTTTATCATATTTAACTCATAAAAAGGTAAGTGTAATTTAAATTTTTCTGAAACGAAATTATTTAGATTAAATTTACAGCTGAATATTTAGCTAGTATTTGGCAAAAACCAATGGTGTTTGGTTTTAATCACTGGCACATTAATCCTGGTGTAAAGTTATATAATATTAATGATAATACTAATAATGATTAAAAGGGCATCACAGATATGCCAGTAAAATGAACTGAAGAATCATACTAGCATTGAGTGAGAAACAGTGAGTGAAAAATAGGAAATAGGTAGCTAGAAGAATGTGCTTTTAATTGACATGGAAATATTTCACATGCCCAAAATAGCTCTAATTTCTATTGGTATAAAATGCAGTATCTCAGTCCAGAAGAATTTCCAACTGACCTATATTGTGTTACCACAGTTTAAAATGGATTGGCTCAAAATATCTGTTGAGCCTTGGTGAATCAACATCATAATAGCAGGTTTGCTGGTTAGCCTTATCCCATGGTGCAACACCCTATACCAATTCCAAAAACAGGACTAACATTGACTATGCTCGTAACCTTAGCATTAAAAGTAGAGTTTCTCTCTGGCCACAACACACTTAAAGGGAACAGAAGCTTCACCACATTTAGGAGAGACAGTTCAACTCCTGTTATTTAACAGTAAAACTCATTTAACACTCAAAAACACATTTTGCTCTCAGAAGCCCAAAGGCTCTGACATCTTTGACCGCATAAATCATGATGTCTAGGATGAAGCTCTAGGATGAAACAGTGTTTCATCTGGTCTTCTTATATTTTACATCTCTCTCTCTTTAAAAAAAAAAAATTGACCTAGTTCTCACATTCTCTCTGCATTTCTTGATGTATGTGAATCCAGCTGCTAACTCCCAAGAATCATCATGGGGCTAATCATAAAGCCTCCCTAGTCTTTTTAGACCTTCTGATGATGGATGCCTTGACATTCACTACGTCCAGTAGTGTACTTTCCAGTAGTCAGGCATCTGCCATAAACATATTAGTTGGGAGTGTATTCTTAAGACATAATTTTGTGTGTATAACAATTGCAATAATATTTTTGGCCAAGACAAAATAAATAGTTAATGAAACAAACACAAGTCTGTAAAAAAGTCATCCACCAGTAAATTCAGTTTAATTTAGTTAGACAAAATGTGACTCACTCTGAGACCTGACTTTACACTCGCAGGATGAAAATACAGCAATGTTGCCAAATTTTCAAAATGTAGGCTTTTATTGAATGAAGGCAACATGATCTCTTGCCACAAATGCATGCAACAGGAAAGGTGTGAGCTCTCTTTCTAAATAACTCTAGTCACCACTGCCTTAACACCAGCTGCTTAATGCACAAGGGTTTTTAACTTTACATTAGTGCTCATTACAAACATACACAAACAAATCTGAAAGCAGACGGTTTGCTGATTGGATTACTAAAGAACATGAACAATTGTGGTTGTTCACAGCTATGGTGTTTAGGTTGTTACTTTGGTCATATGTAGTCCAGAACTTTCTAGACTACTATACAGAAACTATTACAAACATTCATGGACAATTTCATGAAAAGTTCCTTTTTGGCCCAAACTCGGCATCTTATTCATATATCACCAGCAGTTCAGCTGTGAGAATAATAGTTTAATTTATTATTAGAATTTGGAGGTTTTCTAAACTCGAATGAAAAGGACAATGAAATAGCATGATTTTGTTCACAAGTTTTGTTTAGTGGGATTATATAAAACATTTGATTAGATAAGAAACACTGTAGACCCGGACCCTGTCCTGACAAACGTTTACTTGTGTGACCGGGCTTTGAAATGTGATACATTGTTGGATGGAATATGAAGAAAAAAATTGCGATGCGATTGATGTTTTTTTTTTTTGTGTAATATTTATCAGCACCTATTTATGTTATCTGATCAATTTATTACTCCATTTGTACCCAGTGAATTCATTTTACAATTTTCCCCACTTATTCACCCCCCTCCCCCAGAGTTCAGACTCCAAGTGCCTGATGACATGCTTGGGTAATAAAATATGGTATGGGTCTTTTGGATTCTAGCCATCTGCCTGTGCCAGGTGGAGGAAACAGAATCAGACCATTGCAGGTTCTGGTTTAGCTAATGGTCCTGTGCACTGATCACTGATAATGTTAGATAAGCAATGTGAGCAGACTTCCAAGTCATTTCAGTTAACTTATCTATCCATTGTTTTTTATCCAATCTCCATGTTTGGCAAGACATCTCTTTATCCTCTGCAAAACAGGGGGGGAAACTTGCCCATACTCTCCACAAGCAGCACTGACCCAATTGGCATCCAGCATTGCAAACATACGACATTCATTATGCCTTTATAAAATCCAAACTGTTCCATATGTGCATTTCTCTCTTTTTCCCTCTCTCACTAACTCTTGCCTTCCTTCGCACTTTCTATCTATATCGTTGTTGTACTTTCTCTGATAAACTATCTAACACTACCCCTGTGGGACGGTAGTGGTTATATGGTTAGCCACCTGGGTAGATGTACACTTCCAGCAGAGTGTCTATGCAAACAAGCACATAATTAAATACAGGCCGCATAGCAATTTGCATTGTAGTTCTTCAGTATTAAAATAATTAGATGTTTCTTCTAATGATTGCGACAATATTTGAGGCATTAGGTTTTTGCAATCTTGTTATTTTATGCTGTTCCAACAAGCGCAATGAAAAAGTTTATTTCGAATTGTACCATGTGACAAACTTCAGAACCACATGAACTGCAAAAAACAAGCTCACTTGGCAGTCAACAAGCCCCAAGCTAGTGATCATTTTCAAACCAAATATGTTGTTATATAAAAATAGGAGATGGGCCTACACTATGTAGCCCAAGGCTGTTGGTTACTTTTAGTTTGCCAGCCAAGGAAAATTTTCAGAAGGCAAATTGTGCAAATGTAATGTGATGCAGGGAACTTTAGTTGGAACTAGCAGTGATATGCAGTATTTTGCAAATAAATGCTATAGACTCGTTGTTGTGTCTGAGATAGGTAGATGTGGTTGGGGGTCCTATATTTTTATAAAAAAAAGTGAAGTGCTGTAAATGCTTGACTCTTAAACGATAACTCTTAAAGGCTTTCAACTCAAATCCTTCATTATTTATTAGTGCCTGAGATAGAGAACAAATGCCTTTGATAATGGCTGTATTTAGAAAATGCAAATAAACTGCAGATGCGCCTTTCTGTCTCTGTGATGAACAGCTGAGTCAAACTTTTCAACTGGCTTGCTGTTCCCAATTACCTAAATTACATAACACACGGATCCATTATAAAATACCAGTAATGCTCTACATGAAACGTCAAGTATATGAGTATACATATATTTACAACCAAACATAAGCCCTCAATAGAATGTGCAATTTGCATATCGAATGTACACAAATGTTATGATACAAAGTAGATTAAATTACATCAGCTTGTTCAACGCCAAAGGAAGCAATATTTTCTGGGCGGCCAACAACAGTAGTTCATTTGATTCTTTGAAGCAGGTTCATGAATTTTTGATACTATGAACTTAATGTTATACACATGTATGCTGTGAACTGTAGTTCTTGTGCTGCAGTTGCATGTAGAGCTTTGTAAATTTATCTTGTGTCACTGTTGTAATGGTTACATTTCATGTTGCCATAGCATGACTCTTGGTCCCTCTCTTGCAACAGTGGCCTAGTTACAATTCTTGCTCTGGTTTTTATTAAACATGAACTGTTTTACTCACCCTCGTGCTCTTCCAAACCCATTTGACTTTTTTCTTCAGTTGAACACAAAAGAAGATAATCTAAAAATGTACTGGTAACACTTTTCCGTTAAAGTACAAGGCACTTTAAAACTTCAACAAGGATGCAAAAGAACCATAACGTACAATTTATTTTAAGTCATCTGAGGTTATATAATAGTTTTATGAGAGGGCCAGTCCAAAATGTTAGTCCTCATGAAGTCAAGAACTGGATCAATCTGATTTGTGATCACATTATTAAAAACCTGCTTTGTGAACCTGATCAATCAATTTATTGATAAGATCTGACTCAAAAGAATGTTTCGTTCACAAATCAGTATTTCTCTCTCTCATGAAGTCTATCAGTGCAGAAGGAGAATAACAACTTTTCTTTTTCTTACACGAAGCTATCATGTCTTAAGAAGACTTGAAATGAAGTGCATGAGTCATAAGAACTACTTTTCATGTCTTTTTAAGCTTTACTGCTCCCATCCCCATTCATTTTAACTGAATGGAAAACAGCAACTAGCGCATTAAAAAGTGTCTGTGTTCGCTAATATTCCTATTTTTGTTATTTAATACGATAGGTTGCAGTGCACTAAGTAAACAATGTGAATCTACATTTTTATATCTGCAATATATCTGTACATTCAATGTATACGTTCTATACAGTTTACTTATCTATCCATTAATTCATCTAACCAATCATCATCCATCCATCCATTCATTCATTTGTCCATCAATTTATATGTGTAATTTCATTCATTTTCTCACTGTATTATTTATGCAGACTTGCATAATCACACCATACTCAGGTTGGAAACTTTTATTTTATAAAGGTTAGCAGATGTACAAGTCTAGCCCCTCTCCAACTCATCTTGAGTCATCCAAGACCATGGAGAAACCCGACAATCTCTCTCTGTCCACAGGGAGTAATGAACATAATGAGTGGAAGAATGTAGGGAGTAACTGTGCTCTCTTGCTAAAATGCTTCATAAGTTCCCTTTGGTGAAGAAACAATAAAACATTTACTCTCCTCAGAATGATTCACTACAGCTGTCATCCAGACTAGGCAGACATGACTGGTCTGGATGTCCAGCTCAGGTCATGTGTAACTGCAGCAGATTACAAGAGGATACAATGGTTGCGCTCATCTGGCATTTTTGGAGCTGGAAAAGTTTTCACACATATGAGTGTTCCTAAAAAACAGCTGACAGCATAAAATGAGTTCATGGGTGAATCGGTCCAAAGCAGGGGTTTATGTGCGAGTAAATTCATAAACTGTGGACTGAATGCTAAGCTTTGTGCAGCCATTCCTTAATATTGCCCTGGTCAATGTCACTGCAAACAGCTAATAACAGTACCAAAATAAATTGAAACAACGCTCCATTTATTCTGCGGTGAGGTTAAATAGATGTCAAGTTGAAGGAAGTTGATGCTACCAAAATTAACAAACAGAATTGTATACAAATTTGGTAACCAGTATAGCCAGTCAGTCATTTCAAAATATTGTATGGTTTAGTTTAATTTAAGACTATTCAAGGTTTACCGGAAAACTGTGCCAGTGATTTTTCTGCAAAATTATATTACATTGATTCTTGTATGTTTTGTAACACTTTCAAAGAGTTTCAAAGTCCGCTGAGTGCTACTAAAAGTGTGTTCAGTTTTAATCTAAACAGATGAACATGAGTCTGGCTGTACCAGGTGGGTCACCTAGCAAGTTTACTACATCAGCAAAGTCATATGGAGCTGGTCTTGTGATGCAGATGTCAGAATGTTTTAGTTTACGAATCATGCGCTATGGTAAAAGTGTTTTGAGGTCACTCATATTGTGAAAGGAACCGTGTGAAAATAAGTCTTTATTAATTCATAATTTGTCCCAATAATCATAATTTGCGTAAAAAGGAATAAAGGTTGTTTTTTCAATGAGCCTATTAAAAAAAAAAAGATTATTGAAGTGGTCCATATAACTAGTGCACTATATTCAAAACAAAATCAATCAATCATATGGCTTCAGAACTATCCCTTTACCTCCAAATGATCACACCCCTGAAAGAATCTTCTCAAACCTGTCAAAACTTCATATTACTCTATATCTGATCTGATTGCACTGTTTAGCCTGTTTAGATGTTCTACATCCAATCTCAAAACTTTATAATGGCTAATACTACTTAAAACACGATCAATTAAAAATAACACTCCAAAAGTTCAATGAGATCAATAAGCAAATTATTTTAGCACTCTGCTAAGTATTCTGCATACGTGAGTTGTATCTTTGCTGATTCAGAGCACACATTCCGACTCGCAGTGCCAATACAGGGCAATAGCTCAAAGGCAGGCCTGACCCATGACCTTAACAACACTTATAAACATGATGGGAAGCCCGTGGCAACTGCAGGTTAACTGAAGAGGCCACTCTTGTTGCAGCCTGCCCATTACTCTGCGAGATACAAAACATATTTCAGAGTTTAACCACGCTTTATGTACCAGTGCTTAGATAAAAACTTTTAGGTTAGAGTAAAAGCATGTGCTTTTTTGTTTTATTTTGTTTTACAAACAACACAATCAAAACACCATATTTATGCTTATGCAGTTCACCTTTGGACTTAAAAGCTGTGATTACAGTGTCATCATAAATCATGTCTAAATTGGTTTGATTATTGGGTAAGTAAATTGCAACAGCCTGTGTGGTGTTCAGTTTTGTTTCATGTTGCCTGCCATCTTGATATAATTACTACAAGATACATTAGCCGGATCATTCTAGGATTCGTTGATTCCCATACTGCCCCCTATTGACGAAACACATTACCTGTTTTGTGAATAGGATGGCCGTATCCCAATACTCCGCATGCTTGTCGCTGTTTTTGTTCAGCTTCTTCTGCCAGGTGCAGAAATTACGCAGGGTCATCGCCGCGTTCCCGGAAACCTTAGGTCCTTTCTCTTCCTCGTTAATCACCATAAACTTGACAACCACGATGCTGATAGAGTTAAGAATGGTGGGGTGTTTGTAAAGCTTAGCTGCCACTGACATTAAGGTCAGCACGTAATGCTTGAGGTCGTCACCGTGGAATTTGGCCATGGATTCATCGGCCACCACTAATGTCTCTACATAACGCGGAATGGAGACAAATCTCTTCGAGCGGTTTTTCAGAACTGACATAGTGACGTTAGTCTTGTGTTGTTCCTTTAGGTGCTTAAACTTCGCCAAAGACTGTGCAACGGTTTGGGTCACACCACTGTCCACGCCGCATCTTGACGTGGAGTTTCCACTCAGATTGGCGTTAGATCTGCGGCTGATGAGATGCGCATGCACACCGTTCCAGTCGGTGTCGTTCAAAGCCGGCTTGATGAAATATTCCCAGCCATCGTAACCGAATGCGCCCTGCAGCCCCTTGCACAAGCTGAGCGCTGCATAGGAATAGGGATCAGAATGCACCTCACCGGCGTAAAAACACCGGCTCAGATCTTCACTGTGCGCGGAATTTTGAGCAGTTGCGTCGGTGTGCGTCGAGAAAGCTGGAGCAATGAAGCTGGAGTCAGGCTGTAATTCGAGTACAAAATCTTGTTCAAATGCACTTATTTTGAATACAACTGTTTGCGGCAACGTGTTGTCTTCAGCACTGACTAAATTGTTCTTGACATGATCCAGTCTGACGGGCACGCACAACTGACTCTGCATTGAATTCACAATTCCCCATTGAGCATAGAACACGTTAACAAGAAGAACTGACCTTAGCAACAAAAACATGTTTGTGCGCGAGAAATCTGTTTGATTTATAAAGCGCAAAATAAGAAAGACAGCGAGATGTGAACGCAAGAATATTCCAGGATGTGGTTGCACTAAAATTTTGCCTTTGCGCCTCCACAAAGTGTGAAATCCGCCGGTCTGCCTTTCTCCATGCCTTTCTTGTACCGGTATACTAAAGCCGGCTCTGCTCATCTGTCGCCTTTATGCGCGCGCGGCATTTGTAAACATCCAGCGCTTGTAATCAGAAGATTTTGGGGAGGTGCTCAAGTGCGCTCATTGGGTATGCCTTTTGTTTTAAGGTTAAACCATCAACTAACTTGTGGCTCTGTGAGCTTTTGCATCATCAGCGCGCAGCGCTCCAAGAGCCGGGTTTCCCTCCCACTACATCTACAGCATCCAAACTGACTTGAAGAGAGGGCAGCACATGAATTACACATGCATAGCCTATATATTACTGCGTATATACTGCAAAGTTATATTCTATTTAAGTGATCTTTATTTAATTAATAATTTGGAGGCCTATGTATGATTTTATTTTCTTCTCTTTTCTGAAACCTGCATAAACTACATTCTTTACTATCAGTTGTTGTGGTAGGAAGTGAATGTGCAGTGATTTCTACACCAATGAGTGGCATAATCATCATTTAAGGGGAGGTTATATAATGGCACACCAAAAGTGTATATTATATTTTCCATAATTTCTTAAATTATTCCGTGAAGAGCATAAATGGTGCGTGGGCTTGACTTTTACCAAACATGTTTTATTGACACAATCTATATTGTATAATGCGCTGTAGAAATAAAGGTGAGTTGAGCTGTCTTGATCTAAAAAAAGAAAAAAAGGGATACAATTTGTCATTCTGGCAATACCCAGTACCCTTAAAGGTTCGCTTACCTAACCCTAGGGTTCTTGTAGTACATTACATCCACATTATACATTAAGGAAATAATATTCACCCTATAGTGCTATAGCTTAGGTACAAAGGTGATGTCGTCCTGCTGACAAGCAATTTCTTCACTGTGCTTCTGTAAGGACTTCCGAATGTAAAAAATGTCAATTGGATATCCTTGCTCCATTGACCCCATTCATGCACTGGTGTAAGAACGACATCTTGTGGTGAAAAATTCCAATACAGCTTGCTAAATATTAACAGCCATATGAATATTAAACTACGACCAATAACAAAATAACCTCTTTCCATGCTATGTGCAAAAAAATATCGGAAATATCGGTATTGGACAATGTGTTTTATACTGCAGAATCCCATTATGATCTCTCGTTAGATTATTGTATTGGTAGAAAATGTCTAGTTTTCAACTTGATACTGCAAATGATGCAATGCTGCCCCTCAGCGGTAGTTTTCAAATCAACCTGTTATCTCTGTACTTACTGCACGCTGCGTTCCGCATGTACTGCGCTAAGATAATCAACACCCCGCTGCAAATTTCTCACTGTGTATATTGTAAATAACCTATTATACGTTCCTCTATTAATTCCTACATTTTGTGTATTTCTGTTCTTTTTGAGTTTTAAAACGTGCAGGCTTTAACTAAATCAATGCCACCAGTAGAGAGAGTGAGGAACTCAGGGTTGTGTGTCAATTACTTGAAATAACACAAAAAAATATTGCAATTTGATGTGCACCAGACGTGATCTGCACGTAGGCTATTTGGACAAACTTTTTTGAATGTTTTGATTTGTGGTTATAACCTCCAGCCAGGATATATTCAGTTGTCACCTTCACAGCCCGCTGCTATCTAGGTATGAAGACACCATTTGGTCGTGGGTACATAGCGTTTCTTCCTAGATTTTCACTGGTTTAACACGCTCTCTAGCATCTGGTTGACACTCAACAGATACTTCGAGTGTCCTACAGCATTCCAGCCGGCTGTTATAATAATAGCTGTGAGCAAGACTTGCAGTAGTGAAAAGGGGCCGTGCCGGTAGCCCTATTGGATCAAACCAGTTTTTTTTTCTTGCTTTGGCGCACGAGGGGAGGAGAGAGAATGAATATCAAAAATAAACCGCGTACGCTGGAGAAGCCCAAGACTGTATAAATACCAGCGCAAGAACATTCTTCGCTTACAAAGTGAGCCGGATGATGAGTGTTTTCTTACAAGACTGTTTCTATGAACTCTCGAGCCTTAATTTGAATTGTTATTAAATCAATATTGATAGTGTTTTTTTCTTTCTTTTAAATTTCAGTGGATTATGTTAATCTGTATCTTTGTCTTAAAACAGAACTAGCTATCAGTGCTTCCCGTGCCGTTTTCTCATTTTTCAACACAGTTTTGGATATTTCTGTATTCACCATTAAAATGGTCTCCACGGTTGTTTGTTATATATTTTTCTTAGTAAATCTTATGTCTCAGTTAGCTACGTGTGAGCTAAACGAGGAAGAGGAGACCGTGCCAGTAAACCTTACATTCAGAAAAGGTGTTTTTTGGAGGAATGAAGAGAGACAGCGTTTTAAGATCAATGCATTTGGTCAACTTTTCCTGCTTGACCTGACGCCGGATAGCCGGTTCGTGTCTCCATCATTAAACGTCCAGCGCATAAATGCAAAAAACCTCCCAGCCGTTCTGTACGCCTCCGGGAGCGGAGGTGTCTTCAGGGATGTGACCCCGTCCGGAGACAGCGGCGCGGACCTCAGAGACTGTTTCTACAAAGGAACGGTCAACTCTGATGTGGAATCGGTAGTTGCTGTCAGTTTATGTCACGGCATCCAGGGTACTTTCATAACGCAAGGGGACGAGTACTTTATTCAACCTAAAGCAAGTGCCAAGACCACCGGCAAATCTTTTCCGCAGGTGCACGTCGTTAAAAGGCGAGCCTTTTCCAGCAACAGTCGCAGAGCGTCAAATATGGTCTTTGATCAAGAGAACGTTGACCGTTTTGTGAAAAAGAGCAACCTGAACTCTAGTGAAGACAAAGACGGCAAAGTGAGACGCGCGAAAAGATTCGTCTCAGCTGCGAGATACATCGAGACCCTGGTAGTCGCTGACGCTTCTATGACACGTTTCTATGGAGATGAGATAAAGGTGAGTCAAGCGTGCCTTTAGATAAGTTGCAAATTACCTAGTTTTATTTTGAAAGGCATGCCCAATTGTTAATATTACATTCGCTCCATTGGGTGCACCAACTTCTTAGTTATCTAATTGATTCTGAAATTCAGCTACTGACCGACCTTTCTATTCATTTACTGAAGACTAATCACCACTCATCCGAGGGGCTTCGACAGACTACCTGGTGAAACCACTTAGCCTATACAGTATGAATATCAATATGTATATTTAATTTTCCTATTTAATTTTATTTATTTATTTTACAAGCTTATATTTTTAGTCACACCCAGTTGTCCTTATACGAACAACTGACTGCAATATGTAGCTACACGGAATATTTGTATACATTTTTACACACGTTTTAACTGTTGTTTATTTGCTATACCCACCTTTAATAAGGTACCTAAATAGATAACAATTCGTCTCACAAAGACCCATCAAGTCTTCTCAATAAGTTTTCCAGGTGACATTCAGTCTGCCGTCTCTGAGCACGCGCAAGGAAAGTTTGCGTTAACACGTAAAACTGAATTTACCAAGGAGGGCATTTTAGGTCAATATACTGAAGTGTTGTAGGGAGCAAGGATCCTGTATCGAAAACTGGCTTTTTGAAAGTTTAGGCATGGTTTCTCTCACGAAAGGTATCGGATTTGCGTGATAGTTGCATGCAGGAGTTTGTTTTGAAAAGTTGAAGCGTCGGTGATTTCTTTCTCTCCGCGGTCGCTTGCAATGTGCTTCTCTCATGGAGATAGAAAGATCGGGTTGGAGTTGGATTGGAGTTACAGAACGCTTTGAACGAAATCTGTCAGTCCATTCCACCTACATGATATACAGGTGCATCTCAATAAATTAGAATGTCATGGAGATTGTGTAGCCTAGTGAACCAAACTGAGAGACCATTTTGAAGGCTCAGGAAACCTTTGCAGGTGTTTTGAGTTGATTAGCTGATTGGCATGTCAACATATTCTAATTTGTTGAGATTAGAATTTAAGGTTTTTGTTAAATGTGAGCCAAAATCATCAATTAAAAGAACCAAAGACTTAAACTACTTCAGTCTGTGTGCATTTAATTTATTTAATACACGAGTTTCACAATTTGAGTTGAATTACTGAAATAGATGAGCTTTTCCACGACATTCTAATTTATTGAGATGCACCTGTAGTCCGGTTTTAGAACTATGCGAAGCTTTATGTAAATAGAAATATGCTAACAGAAATCCATCTTTCCAGATATGAATTACTTATTGAATTATGTGAATAAAAAAACATTTTGTTCACTGCTACCCTTTAAGATCTGTACAGAAGTAAACATTAAAAGTAGGGAATAGGCCTATGTGTTTATCCCTTTAACTGATGTTCCGCTAACTATATGACTGTACTCAAAACAGCTGTCATATGTGTTGTTTCACATTATTAAGGAGTTCAGGACAAAACTGTCATTCAGGGACATATTTCCATTCTAGTCGGTCTTTATTCCCATGTAAAACTGCAGCTGTATTCACAAGTCGAAGTTGAAGTATCAAGTTTTTAATAAAGGCTAAAACAAATTAGCCCTTAATGATCGGTCTATGACTTAGACATGAAAAGTAACATAAATCAGGCAAACCACTAAAAGCTTGTGATTTGAGGGTGACTGTGGGGTTGGTTATACAGAGTGTAACAAAATATGAAACTTGTCTGTGAATCAGAGTGGGAGAAAATAAAATACAGAAGAGGGCGAAAAGAACATCTGGAAAAGAAGGACATCCAGGAGTTGTTTGCGACCCATTTTATTGATAGAAAGAAGAACAAATGTTTAAATGTCTTGGTCCCATAGGCTTACAGATTTGGACCACCACTTTATTCTCTCCCCCCAAAATGTAGTGTCAGGTTTAATGAAGAAAATACTCACTGAACAGCTGTCTTTGCTGATCCTATTATGATATTTGTGACAGCTGCATTATTTTAATGCATATATTTAACATGGAACCTAAAATATTGTCAAGTCATAATCTCCCAGTGTAAGAAACTGAAAACAGTCAATCAGACAATCATCTAGTTTTAATGCCAAAAATACATCATGTTTTTGGTACTGTATATCCAGGGTTGTATATTTAGTATCTTTGAGATTTGTTTACGGAGTGTATCCGCAGACCATTTTTGTTTGATTACAACATTTCTATTCTCTTTCTTTCTACAGCATTACCTCCTGACAGTGATGTCCATGGCAGCACAGATCTATGTGCAT